CGCACTCGTCCAGAGCAAAATGCGACTCAAAGAGAACACGCAATGCAACTTGCTCCTCCTTCAACCGCTTCACCGAAAGAGGGATTCACTTCTCGCGCTTGAGACCGCCAGCGTCCGCCGAGCGATTCGCAGAACAGGACCCGGATTCAATTCCGCGTCTCCGCAGGGCCGGATAAGCTGCCAATGAAGAGCCCCAGGCGCAAGGCACGCCGCCACACGCCGGCGCGCATTTTCCGGCGGCGGGAAATTGAACGCATTTGCCCCGGACCTCCTGCAGACGACGCGGCGCCCAGAAAAAAAAAACAACGACCGCCGGCGGCAGCGACAACCAATAACATTTTTCTTTCATATCGCGAAACAACGTCTGGGGCGCAGGCTTGCCTGCATTTCCGGTGTTCTGGGCGCCCACGCCCGCGGATGAACGCGGCCTCGCTAGCGTCTTTGTGGGACCGCTCGGCCTTCCAGGAACTCAACCAACGCAGATACGGGCATGTTCCCGCACTGCGGCCCTGTGCCGCGCCGCGTCGGTTCCGTTTAGCGCCAAGCAATGACAGAATTAAGAGGGCGGTCTGGCGAGGCACCCGCCCAGCGCTACAAGCCTTTCGGGGCGAGTTATTGTTGTTATTTTTTTTTTGCAGCGGGGTAGTGGGGGAAGGACCGGGGTGCCGCGCCATTTTAGTGACGGGACCCAGGCGCGGCGCTGTTCGGGGCTCGCGCGTGTCCTGCAGGCAAGCCATGGGCGGGGGGCGTTGGGTTAGACGCCGGGTGGCGCGTGTTATTGGGTTGTTTTTTTTCTTTGGGTCGGGCGGGCTTTGGCGTTTTCGTGGCGAGCTTCGGGGGGCGGAGTGGCGGGTTGCGCTCCACGAGGGGCGACCCGCGCGCCAAGGCTGTGGTTGGAATAGGTGTAGGCCAATAAAGCACATTCCGGCGGGTGTGTCGCCTGCCGTGGATGCGTAAGGCCGAGCTGCGTGGAAGGCCCTGTTTTCTTTGGTTTAACCTGACTTCTTTGTTTTACTATGCACATTAAACTCACTGAGGAAGCAGTTTTGCTTACTGGTCGTGTTTTGTCGGGGGGATCGCGCCGCTGTGCTTAAGCGAAACGAAATTGTGCGCAACTGCTGGAGCGGAATTTTTTTTGTCGTGGATTAGCGAAGTTGCAGCTTTTTTATTATATTATTACCACTTTATGTGTTGGGCGGCGTTGTGTGTGATCGCCATGTGTAGGCCAGGGGTGGAAAAGGCTTTCCCGGCCCTGTTCTGCCCTTTTTTTTATTTGGCTGGCGTGGGGTGGTCTTGTGGCTTGCAGATGGGTGTGTGGTTGGAATTATTATTGTCTTTATTATGTTCACTACTGTGGCTGTTATCATTATGAATATTAGTATTAAATTATTTTAATTGTATTTCTTTATTTTGGTTATGCTTAAGATAACATTTATTTTACAGCAGTTCTGCGGTGAAAGGCCCTAATAAATGCAAATTACTGGAGGGGTGTGGGTGGGTTGAGGATCGGTGCCGTATTGAGGAGGTTTATAGTTTTCAAGCTTCTTTTTTTGTTTTTTATGTCTTATGGCGGAATTGTTTGTACCGGTTTTTCGTTCCCTTTTTGGGTTATGGTTCCTCTCCATCAAGGTTACTTTTTTTTTTACTTCCGTGGAATTCCAGGTACATCTTTCTCTTGAGTCGTGCTTGTCGGTTTTTCAATGAATATTCTTAATGCAATAGTTACATTTTTTATTTTATTTTTTGTTTTGTTTTTATCTTGATGCCCATGTAAACAAATAAATACAAAATTATATATAACTGTATAATTGTTATTGAACACAATAGGGGCTAGGTTACTGTGCGATGAATTCTGAGGATATTTATCGTCCAACGGCAGGCGACGTACAAAGTATCCTGCGGCTTCTTCATGACAATGGTGTTAGTGTTCAAAATTCCAAAAAGGCATATGCAGAGTTGCAACAATATCAGGCAAATCCGTCATTCTGCATTTTGCTATCCTACGTTTTTGGCGCGGAGGCTTGTCCCATTCAAGAATTGCAATTAGGCGGATCATGGATTCAATATAGACGACTTGCCGGAATAACTTTAAAGAACAATCTCGAAAAATCCAAGTACGCACTGGGTCTAGGCGCCGTGAAGGAGGCGGCTCGCTGTACGTTATCCGTACTGGGTAACCCATCAGACGCTCGAATTGCTCGAGTAGCGGCCCAAATCGTGGTGAAAATAACAGCTCTTACCTCTTTTAATTGGTGGCAGGAGTGTGGAATGGGCAATTTACCAAATTTGCTTCTCAACGAACTATTTGGGGCAGGGGACTTAAAGACGTTATCTGCGCTTTATACTCTTCAGTATTTGATGGAAGATCTCCCGAAAGATGTGGGTATTGCCAGTAAGGATATTATCGATCGAGTTTTAACGCTTGTATTGGATCAAAATACCGAAGCAAATCTTCAGAAGGCAGCATTCCGAATGTGCTTTAATATTTATGAACAAGCAGAACAACTTGATTGGAACGTAGAAGGACTATCTCCACTGCAAACTGGATTAACAGCCGCAAGTGGCACTTTTGCTGGTGTATGTACGACGCTTTTAGAGCAAGGTTGTGGGTGTGATATTCCACTTCTGATTCAAGTGTTACGCTCGTGTGCCTTAATGCTTGAGTACCTTGAATATTTTACGCCTATGTCCGACGCGGAAACGGCCAGATTGATCGATTGGTGGATTCGCCATACTATAGATGTAGTTTCTTGGAGGATTGACGTAGGTGAATACAATCTTCAATTAAAGACGGCTGCCATGGATTTGTTAACCGCAGCCTTGAAGCTATATGATCGAATGGGGGGTAACGGAACTATTTCCCTTCTTATGGAACCAATACTCACTATGCTACCAAATCTTATCCCGGCTTTGGTGGCTTGTGTTCCTATGTCTATTGAAGAGGTGGATAGTATCTTATCGAATGATGACTATCGATCGCGCGATGCAACTGCAGTTAATTATCATTTAAATGAAGGAAGCAAAGACATATCTGAAGATACATTTATGGAGGATGATTGTGGTGCTGCCACACTGCGCGCATCAGCATTACGGTGTATTGATGCTCTCTGTATTTTTTCAAGTAAAGAGACATTTCCACATCTAATTGAGCAGATTAAGATTTTATGGGGTGCCGATCGAAAACTGAAGGAGGCTGCAATTGTGTTGTTCGGGACCATCGCAAACGGTTGCTACACGGAAATTGAAAATACGGTTTCAGATATTGTTCGTCAATTGATTGATACTGTTCTGTCGCCTTCAGAAGATATCTTTGTGGTTAGCGTTGCTATCTGGTCCTTGTCACGAATATTGGAATGGGCTTGCACATGCGATGAAAAAATTTTATCAGAGATTATGGCAGCTTTTATTTCTAGAATGCAAAGTACTAGTAAACGCGTTCAACAGGCAGCGGTGTCTGCTTTAAATACGGCATTCGTAACCGGACATAACATGGGTGCAACAACGAGTCTTTTTGACATGCTCCCTTGTTTAACTGAGTCGATCATCGCATGTTTGCCCATATACTGTGATGGAAATTTATCACTTCTCTGCGATTTAGCTTTGCATATTATTGCTATTGCAAAGGATTTTGAAGTTACATCACGAATTGGAGCTGCATTTAAGAGTAATCGCATTGAACGCGTGAAATACTTTGAGGCGTCATATGTGGCATTTTACATCAATGGGGCACTCAACACACACGTCGATAAGGACATCTTTTCTATTGATCGTGTTGTCGCTGGATTCTTGACGCGGTTTCCAGATTCAGAAACTTCTTTGAAGGTTCTCGGAATGTGGCACGTAGCGTTAAAGGATGCAGTCGAACGAGACATCAGAGACGACGAGGATTTGTTGTGCAATATGATGTTTACTTGCTCCAACTTTTTGACGGTTACCTCCACTGCCGCGCTCACCGCATGTATGTCTCAAATGCAGGACTCGTTAGCGAGTTTGGCATTTCAACTTCTTGTTACTTTTCCCCAGAAACCTGTGAAATCGGCGGCGGTGACGCTGCTCCATCGCCTATTGAAGTCCGTTGGAAAATCCGCCTACCCTAATGGAATGGGAGACAAGTTGCTCGTTACGCTTGCCTCCTTCATTCGTGAAATTGATATTTCTTATGATAAGTTGGAGCTGGTGCGTTTGATTACTCTGATGGTCGAGGTGTACTTTACCGACTTTCCACAAGATGCTTCCGTCGCATTTGCCGCCGCTGTAGATGCGCTTCGCAGTGACGCTTACAATGATTCACGCTGGCTTTTTTCACAGATGGCGTACGATATATGTCATGCCCTTGATGTAGTGCCGAGACTTTTGGCGCAATCGCGGCCCGAAGAGCTCGCCCGAATAATGGCACAGGCCGAGAACACATGTGGCAAATCAGTGGCGACGATACATCTAATTGATGCTCTATTGTCAGCAGAAGAAGTCGCTTTCGCTATACTTCCGGATGTTATGCGACTTATTTACAGTTGGCAGCAGGCGGCATGTAACTTTCCTGGTACTCAAGAAAAACTTAGCTCTATTCTTTTTCTTTATAGCAACAAACACAATGAGCAATTGAGAGATCAACTGAGCAATTTGCACCCCAATCTTCGCGAGATGATAATGTCGACGTACGGCATGAGCTAACACCATTCACGGAAACTAGGGTTTTACTGGACAAGCTGCCACTGTGGAGACTACTGCTCTCCCCATCCCCAGCGAAGGGGTGGGACGGAAATGAGGTAAGAGGATAAACAACAACGGTGGGGGAGGTGGGGGAAAGGGTCGATAGAAACACTTGGGATTAGAGAATTCAAGGTAAACAACAACAAAAAAAAACGTTTTTATTTTATTTTGAGAGCCAATAGCCCCTAAAAAAGAAAGCAAAAAGGAAGGAAGAAAACGAAAGAACGAAAGAAAAAAAAATGTAGTTGTTGTTATTGTTATTGTCACTACTATTATTATTGTTGTTATTGTGGTTACTGTTCTTGTTGCTATTGTTGTTGGTGGCGTTGGCGTTGTGGGTGCTGGGGGAATACTCCACTCGTTTGAGAATAAGAAGCCGTGCACAGACGTATCCATGTTTTAAGTAGTATTCTTGTTTTTGCTGTTGCTCTTCTTCTGGGACTTCCGTGCCTTTGACCCGAAGGTCAATTGTTTATTCTTTTCGAGGAAATTTCGAAGGGTAAAACACACAGACGCATAGTGAACGGGGGGGAAAAAAATATAATAATAATAATATGCGCCGATGGTATGGACCGGTTGAGGCCGTTTTGAGGCAACATACATTAGCCCTGCGTTTTAAGTTGTCCCCGGGCAGACGACTTACGACCGTCATTATTCCACATTCAATTTCTATGCAACGATGCGGCTATCACGACTACGCACGGCAGACCGCATACCCTCCGCCGCCTTCGCCCGCCGCGGCGCGGCCGCCACAAGTTCCACCCTACGTGTACCAGGGAGCTCCCCCAGGCCAGCCATTGTATCCTCCGCAGCGGGGAAACCCAACAGGCTTCCTCGGTGCCTCAGTGCCTGAGTTGGGAACCAAAGAACGACCGATCGTTGTTCTCTCGGCCCCTCAGCAAGCATCTTGGGCAACGCGACTCTGGTTGCTGCTGCTTTTTGGAATTGGAATCAGTTGTATATTGAATCTTATTGACGAATTTAGCAGCCGAATGCAGGAAAGTAATTCGTCTACCCGCACCTCGGCTGTTTCCCGAGCGGCAATCACAGGCATGTTTCTATCTCCCGATGTGAAGCCTGTGGACCTAAACGATCTTGAAGTCACCTTTGACTCGATTCGTGGCTGTGATGAGGCAAAAAAGGAGCTAGAAGTCATTGTTGAGTTTCTCAAGGATCCAGAAAGGTTTTACTACCTGGGAGGGCGACTTCCAAAGGGCGCACTGTTGGTCGGTCCCCCTGGCTGCGGCAAGACGATGCTCGCGAAGGCCATTGCGAAGGAGGCCGGCGTCAACTTCTTCTACGCCACAGGAAGTGAATTTGACGAAATGTATGTCGGCGTCGGGTCCCGTCGCGTCCGCGAACTGTTTGCAGCCGCAAAAGCAAACGCCCCGGCCCTAATCTTCATTGATGAAATTGATGCCTTAGGTGGTAAAAGGTCGAGAACGGATCACGCCTATTCGCGTATGACCTTAAATCAACTTTTGGCTGAAATGGATGGGTTCCGTTCGAAGGAGTCGGTTATTGTTCTGGCAGCCACAAATACTCCGGACGCGTTGGACAAGGCGCTAACTCGCCCTGGACGGTTTGACACAACGATCTCGGTGGACCCGCCGGATATGAAGGGTCGTGAGGAGGTTTTAGAGGTATATCTGAAAAAGGTAAAGGCGGATGCCTCGGTTAAGGCCCAACAAATCGCGCGGGGCACGACTGGGTTTACTGGGGCAGAGCTGAACAATTTGGTTAACCTTGCCACAATTCGGGCCGCGGTGCTGCACAAAAACGCCATCACTATGGAGGATGTGGAGTATGCCAAGGATCGTGTGATGATGGGTGCGGCAAGCACGAAGATCATTCCTGAAGAAGATCGACGCGTGACCGCCTACCACGAAGGGGGACACGCCCTAGCGGCAATTCTGCTCGAGAAGGATGGCGCAGAGCCTGTACAAAAGGCGACCATTGTTCCCCGCGGCAATGGCGTCATGGGGCTCGTCGCGCAAGCCCCTGAAAGGGACAGGTACAGCCAGAGAAAAAAACAGTGCTTCGCGCAACTTAAGGTTTGCCTGGCAGGCCGCGTGGGCGAGGAGATCTTGCTTGGGGAGGATGACGTGACGACGGGTGCCAGTTCTGATTTTCATCAGGCGTCGCAAATGGCGCGGCAAATGGTACGACGCTTTGGATTTAGCGACGAGCTTGGCTTTGTTGACTACGAGTCCTCCGGCACGCCAGAGGGGGCATATATGTCAGAGGCAACAAAAAACAAGATAGAATCCGAGGTTGCTTCACTGCTAAAGGATTCCTACAAGGAGGTCAAGCAAATGCTCCTGAGCCACCGCAAGGAGTTGGACTCTCTCGCGCAGCACCTACTGCAACACGAGACCCTGACGGGCGAGGAGCTGAAACGCATCCTGAAAGGGGAGGTGCTGCCGGCAAAGGCGACACAGGAAGTCCCCCAGCCTCCCCCCACCCAGAAGCCGCCCAAGGGCTCGGGCGGGATGACAGGGAAGCGTCGCCCGGTGCCGATTTCGTAGCGAGGAAAAATGAGCAACGCGTGAATTATTATTATTTTTTTTCTTCTTCCTTTCCTGCCCTTTCCTATATATATATATATATGTG